ATGAGGTGAATTCAATTGAACGGTGGCCTTCTTGCAAACAGCGCAACCTGTTTTGCGAAAGAGCCAAACTTGCATAGCGTACTCCCTTTGAAACTACAAGAATCATGTGCTTCTTTTCCTTGAAAACCTTCGAAGGTAAAGTGCAGAGGTCTCTTATCAACTACGTCTTTTAGGATACTTTTTTGCACATCCATAAAAGTACACAAGATGAGAAATCAAATAAACCACCGCTGCTTTGAGTAGTTGACTCACTCCAAAGGAAAGACAAAATTAAGGTTTGACATAAAGAAGAATGAAGAATTAGAAGTTACCTCGCTCCCATCAACGCCACGAGTTCGCCTGGCCGAGCTAGGCCAGTGACACCTTGCAGCAACTGTCTGCCTCCTTTGGTGACCGAAACGCTACAAAAAAAGTATCTATCGGAAAAAGCTACTGTATGCTTCAAATACCCAGCTTCCCCGGAGAAGACTGCAAAGATAAAAGAGAATTTCGCAGGTAACCACAAATTAAAGGTTTGCTTACCGCAGGTCTTTCCATGAGAGCGTAGCTGGTTCCACTGCTTCAAGGACAGTATCCGCCGCTGCCGCAGCTGTGCCATAGATAGTAGACTGAGTCGCTGAGATTAAACTCGTCGTCTCATCTTTTTCGTCCATAATGAGCTAGCAGAGCCAGCTCCCCAATATTGGGGATTTGTGCAGTTAGGGGTAAGTACAACAATAGCAGTTAACAAGTGAATAATTAGCTTCTTAGAGAAAGACAACCGCAGTGAACGGATATTGATAGAGAATGAACGTGAACATTTAGTAGAAAGACCACCATTCATGACCCACTATCTAATCTTATCGTTGCTCAGCATACTATACAAACATAGACAACGTCCTTGTACTATAGGTGCGGGAAAATACTCCAGGACTCAGGCCGAAATTGACAAAGTATCACTTGGAGTGATGAACATTGCATGAAGTAACACAGTGCCACAGAGAACAAAACTGATAGGATATTCAAGGAGAATATGTGATATCAAGGATAAGTAATCTAAAACGCCCAAGAACTCACCTTGAAGCATACACGTCGAAGCACA